AACTGGCGATTTGGGAATGAAACAACCAGAGAAGTGGGTGTCCGACTCTTGGATGCTTCACCATGACAACGTGCCTGCCCACTCAGCACAGCTTGTGAAGCAATTTTGGACAAATTTTAGCCAAACACTGTATCCTACAAGTGCTGCACCCTCCATATTCACCTGATATGGCCCCATGCGACTTTTTTCTCTTTCTTCAACTAAAGAAAACCTTGAAAGGAAGAAGACTTTGATGTGGAAACCATAAAACAAAATGCCACTGAGCAGCTTCTAGCAGTTCCGCAAATTTGCTTATCAGAGGTGTTTCCAACAATGGCAGAAATGCTGGGAGAAGCGTGTGGCTGCAGAAGGAGCATGCTTCGAAGGAGATTATGCTAAAACCCCTGTAAATAAAATATTTTGTTTCCTACAGCATCAGTCTTGATACTTTTTGAACAGCCCTCGTTATGCGAGGTCTATAAAATGGTGAAGGGTGAGAATAAAGTTAATAGGGAATGGTTATTCACCAAATCCCAGAACATAGGAACAAGTGGGTATCCACTGAAATTAACAGGAGGCAAGTGTAAAAGAAGAAATACTTTTTTTTTACCCAGCTCACAGCTCACCTGTGGAACTGGCTGCTGCTGGAAGTTGTAGAGACAGATAGTATAGCCAGGTTCAAAAAAGGATTAGACAGATTCTTAGAGAACGGGTCTTTTGAGAGCTGTTAAAAAGATCAGTCAGGAATGTATCGTCTTACATCCCTAAACCAGTGCTGGTGGATGCCAGGGAACATAGGATGGGGATCCAATACATTAAACATGTCCTGTATGTTCAACCTGTTGAGCCCCATGGGCTAAATGAGTGGTGTGGAGCCATTCTGCAAGCTGGATCCCTCAAAGGGTCAGAGCCTGTGCTGTCCTGACTCAGCCCCATACATCTGGATTGGGCCTCTTGTTGCCCTAGGCCCATGCACTTTATAGCATGGCCCTTCACATTAGCTGGCCCACCAGGGTCCCTGTGGGTCTTGAAATTTGGCAGCACAGGAGTGGCAAGTAACACTGCTACTGTTTCTTGTTCATCCAACAGGATGGATCTGGCTTGTAGGCTGGGGGTTGAGCACCGCTGCTCTAAAGCATCTACTCCTTGCCACTGTCAATGACAGGATCCTGGGCTAGATGGACCATTGATCTGGCACAGTATGGTACTTCTTAACAAGAAACTAGGCTTAAGTCAGAGATGTGCCTTGAAAAATTTAAGAAAAATAAGTAGAAAATCAAAGTCTTTGAGTGGTGGTTTCCCAAATATATATTTTTTTCCACCTGAAATATCTCTTAACTTTATTAACAGAACTCCAAAATGTTTGATAAAATGGCTTTGTTTTCCTGATATGTCCATCTTAAATGTTTAGGTTCCACAGTATTGTCTTCTTAAACTGATATTTTTATATTCTTACTCCCTATTAATCTATTGTTTTCTCTGTTTAAAAATATGTTAATGGTTGTTCATTCTACTTTGCATTTTAATGTTTTTAGGGGAAATGCTTTTCTTAGAAAACTGAGTTGCTAGGAGCTAAAATCAGATGATTTTGTCTTGCCCAGTATTTTATTCTGTTAGTATTCTTGTTGTAAGGTTGACAGACTTCAGCTGGGAATCATTAGTTCATGTAAGTTGAAAGTACCAAATGGTTCTTGAAGCTTTTTGTCTGCTTTTGTCCTTTAGTTCTCAATGACATTATTTACCCTTGCATAGTTGATTCTCTACTCTGTTTAATTGAATAGGCAAGAGGTAAAGGAGAAAAGGACAGTGTGGTTTTAAAATATGTACTTAGAATAAGTGCAGTTTTAAGTGTTATGATTGTCTATTAACCCCTTAAAACTACCATCCAGGTTTATCTTGGTTAGTCTCCAGCACTCTCTCTCCTTGACTATTCAGGCTGATTTATCAGGGAGACCGCCTTCTCTCTTTCTCTGTCTCTCTTTAATTAGGTACTACTTTAAGATAGAAACGTCTGCAATTTTAGTCAGAACAATATAGCTCAAGAAAATAAGGGGTTATAAAGGATGAGTTGGCCCAGCTTCATTTTTTACAGTAAATGAATGTCCCCAGTACTGAACTAGTGTTCAATTTCTATATTTTTTTTCCCCTGCCAGGTTATAAATAATGCTTGTGCTACTCAAGCCATAGTAAGTGTGCTATTAAACTGTACCCATCAAGATATCCATCTGGGAGAGACACTATCAGAATTTAAAGAATTTTCACAAAGTTTTGATGCAGCGGTAAGTGAAATTAATTTTTTTGATTTCCACTATTCTGACTTGAATGTTTGACTTATATTTTTATTTTTTATTACTTTTATGTTAAAGATGAAGGGTTTGGCACTAAGCAACTCTGAAGTGATTCGGCAGGTTCACAACAGTTTCGCCAGGTAGTAATTAAAAAAAACACATTAATAATTTCTGGATTTTGTGCACACTTTTTTCAGCTTTGTCTTTTACTTATGTTTACAGACAACAGATGTTTGAGTTCGATGCAAAGTCTTCAGCAAAAGAAGAAGATGCATTTCACTTCGTAAGCTATGTTCCTGTTAGCGGAAGGTTGTATGAGCTAGATGGACTTAGGGAAGGGCCAATTGATTTAGGTAATGTTTTATTTCACTGAACCTAACTTGCATATCTGACCAACTTTTAATTTAGCACTAAATGTATCGTAACAAATTTGTTATCCAACTAGTGACCACAAAAAATTATCTTGTATGCAAGAGAGAGCATCTAATTCTTGTTAATACTTTTTGATATTTTAGTTAATTGCTAAGGTACCACATTGCTGTGCCTTCTACCTAGATACATTTGCAGTCTTGTATTTCAGTTTTATCTTTGATCTTAAATCCCAATGTTTTCTAATATTTCCTTCAAGCTTCCAAGGATCCTTAATGAGAGAGACAGAAGACATGATAAAATAAACAGATTATTAGCATATCCCAAAACTTTTGGGAAGCTATTTACATTTTCCTTTCTTAAGAATTATCTCCAACTTTTTCATAGTCATGGTACTTTTTTCCAGGGATACTGCATCTCCCTGCCCTAATTCCATATTGACATTGAGTGGGGCACTTCATTTCCTTTTCTTATATTGTTTTGAATCAAAACTGCAGTAGTCAGCCTAATAATTTTATCATGGATTCCAAGTTTTTCTGGGTCATAAGTTATCCTATCTTATGTTTTCTTAGGATGCATAAAATATATGCATGCATTCTTATCATATTCCCATCTTTTTTTTTTCCAACTGGTTCACAGGTATTAGTAATTTATGGTAGTAGTTTATATTTAGTAATTGTCTTCCCACAGAGGAAACTGAAGGAGAATATCAGTACAGCTCCTGGAAAAATAATTCTTTGTGGACCAAATATTTTAGGGCTGGAAATATTTAGAAGCTTAGGGCTGGAAGGGACCTCATGAGATCATTGGGTTCAGCGTGTTAAGAAATTTAAAATATTTGGTCCACAAAGAATTATTTTTTCAGGAGCTGCAATGACATTCTCCTTCAGTTTCCTCTGTGGGAAGACAATTACTAAATATAAAGTATCAAAAAATAAGTTCTTGATTTCCATTTTGGCCCTGGATGGATATACTCTTTGAAACTCTCTAAATACCTTTGAAGTGCTCCAAATAGTGAGTGTGCAGACATACATGCCTGAAGTGCTTCAAAAATGCTTTCATAAAAAGGAGAAACGTTTTTGAAGTGCTTCCTGAAGTATCTGTATGCTTCACCTGTCCTCCAGCATCCCTAAGGGCACCTATACAGCAGCGTAGAGGCTGCTTTGACACTGGAATTCCAGTGTGTCAGAGCAGACTCAATTAATCGTGTCTGCAAAGTGTGGCAATTGCTGCACTTCAGCAGCCTCCTGAGTCTTGTGTATCAGCATCCCCATGCTTAAAAATGGCGGTGGAGGCACCTGAACTAAAAGCTTGTTGAACAAGCTTTAGCTCAAGCACCCCCAACACCATTTTCAAGTGCGGGGACGCTGATACAGAAGATGTGGAGGTGCTTTAATTAGAGTGGCTCTTGGAGCTACTCTAATTAAACCATTGCCCCTGGAGCATGTGTAAAAGTGCCCTAAGTGTTCTGTTTCCTCCCTGCCCTCCCCCCACCTCCCTCCTTTCCTCTCTGACTGGGAGAGTTGCAGGTGAGCATGGTGAACAGCCACTGAGCATTTTCTTGTGCACTTGGGAGCCTCTGGAGATCAAGGGCTGCTCTTGGTTTCCCTTACGTCATGTGATCCCTCAAATTTCATTAAGGCAGAAAAATGAAATGTTAAACTTTCAGTAAAAGCACACATTTTATTCTGAAGGATCAGTATATTCATATATATATGTATTTTTTAAACAAAACTTACAAACATGACTCCTTCATTTTGCAGTCAAACTTGCTTGTCTCACCTGAAGCACAGAGACTTCTCTGTCAGCATAAATTTCTGTTGTTGTAGATCAGTGGTGCTCAGCCTTTGGATGGGCAGTGCCTAGGCTATTTGTGGGCCAGAATGAATTGATGGTTCTGATCCAGCATGGGGCAGGGCCTGCAGGAGAGAGTGAGGTGTCATGGCCCAACCCTGCAAGGGAAAGTGGTATGCCCCAACCTAAACCTGGCCCCATGGGGGGCCATGGCCATGCCTCCAAACCACAGTCCTGCTTAGGGGGTGGGGAGCCATGGCCCAGCCCAATGGAGGAAGAGGGGACATTGCTCAGCCTCACAGGGGGGAATGGGGCTTGAGCCGAGCCAGCTCCAACCAGCCCTATGGGAAAAGGGGGCATGGCCCAGCCCCATCCTACCTAGGGAAAGGGGTGTGGCCTGGCCTCATTCAGGTGTGGGGGTGGGGGTGTGACCTGGCCCCAACCTGCTGCAAAGGACTCAGGGTTTGAGAATTTGGCAGTGGGGGAGTGTGACTGTATTGATTGCCACCACTCCCCTGGCTGCCAAATGTCCTGGTCCATGGGGAACCCTGTGGGCTGCATGTGTATGCCACATTTGACCCATGGACCAGGGGTTGAGTACTTCTGTCATAGATCAAACTACAGAGTCCAGGTGTATACATGTAATAGTTGTTCAGCTTGTCTCAATAGCAAAGGAGTACACTGTGTAGCCTCATAGGACAGGAGGCAAAGAATGCCAGGGGTTGGCAGCCCTCAGGCCAGATCCAGTCCATGGCTTAAAGGTTGGCAGCCCCTGAAACGATGATTGGGATTTAGATACCAAAATTGAATTACTATAGTTAAAACTTGATTCAGCTGGAGAACAAAAAACTCAGGGTGTAATTAATGACTTCAATAGAACAAGATTTTTATTTAATCTACTCTTCGGGAGAAATTGGTGCTGATTCAAAGGAGAGTGTCACCTCTCTTTAGAATCAGCACCAATTTCTCCCAAAGAGTAGATTAAATAAAAATCTTGTTCTACTGAAGTCATTAATTTCATTCCCTTCTTATACTCTGGAGGCATTTTCAAACCATAAAGATTAGGATGCCTTCAAACCTGTGACTGACTTTTTTTCTGACTTTTCATGAAATATTTAACTTCTCTGCCATGTTTTCTGCCTCTTTGAGATGAAGAAAAGGCCTAGCTCATGTGGATAAATATAATATCCACATATTATATCATCTTCAAAGCACGTTGCAAATATTGGAGTTTTGTTCAAACTTAACAATTGAAAAGCAGGAAATACTATTTTAATTTCACAAGGGCTTGCAGAGTCAGAATTACTGAGGAGAAATTGCCAGAGAAATTTCTGTATGCTTATTTTTGATTACTTTTCCCCATTTGTAAAACCGGATGTATACCTCACATGCAAAAAGACTCGTGCTTTTTTAGTGTTAGAACTTTTTCTCCCCTTTTAAAAATCTTCTCCAGCTCAGTTGCATTCCCCAAAACAATGTAAAAATATTACTCAAAACTTTAAAAATTAATAGCAAGTACCGATGCTTATCTTCCTATATTTAAAAAGATGTAGACTTTTTATCTGTCTCTAAAAATGTCACTTTGAACAGTTGAGCTTTGTTATTCTCCAGAAAAATATATTCTGGTACTACCTGCAGGTGAATATCTTAGGGGCCTGAATAACTTGAAATAGTATTACATTGTGTGGTGATGCTGATTTTTTTTGTCTTTTCATATATTTTACCTAGGTGCATGCAATCAAGATGACTGGATCAGTGCTGTAAGACCTGTCATAGAGAAACGAATACAAAAGTAAGCAATCATGACTTTAAAAAAAAAACACACACAAAAAACTAGCTTTCTAATTGTAAAGACACTATTGTCATTTTTTGTGCTTCATTTGTATACCCATCAATTTTCTTAATTTCAACACTTGACCACAAATAACATCTTCAAAAATGTTGGTAGAAGTTATTGGTAGAAACCATGTTGGCCATGTTAGTTATGGGGTTCTTCCAAAAGGAGTCTTCACCTCTAAAACACTTCTGTTTGGAAAAAAAGTTGCCTAACGGCTAAATTGTATAAGTAAATAAATTAATATATAATCCCATTTGAGAAGATAAACTCTGGCACAAATGCTGACAAAAGGTAATATTGGGTTATTTGCCATTTTTGCATTTGTGTATCTCAGCATAATTATCTATTATGTGATTTAAGTGGTGAGATCTTTGATGAAGGGAACTTGGTTGGGTGGGAGGAGACAGATAAGTAATATTTCTGAGCTATGTAAATCTGTAATTTTGAAACACACATTCTCCTTTCAGATATAGTGAAGGTGAGATAAGGTTTAACCTAATGGCCATTGTGTCGGACAGAAAAATGATATATGAACAGAAGATAGCAGAATTACAGCGGCAACTTGCAGAGGTAGGCCATGGTAGTTAAATTAATGCAGTAGTTATATATATTGCAAAGATTGGTGATGCTGTAGAACTTCTTAAATAGGTTAATGTTTATCTTACCACTATCCATTTATATTCCAAACCCTGCCAATCATTTCTCTTTTCCTTTCCCTGTCTCCCTCCACCCCTTCCTGAAAGCACTTCCCCAATTGAGTGACTCTAAAAAGCAAAAGTACAAGAGTGAATGTATGTATCTACACAAAACAATATAGTCCCATGTAATGATACCCAAAATAGCTCTGAACAACTTGGATACTGGAAGCACTGTGGCTGCATTAGTACAGCATTCCAATCCTGCAAGCACTGTGGCTGCATTAGTACAGCATTCCAATCCAGCTAATTTATGTGGCTAATGTAGCCATCAGAGCTGTCCCTAGGGGTGTGCAGGGCCCAGGATATATTGGCCCATGTGGGGCTGGGGGGTGGAGAGTGGCCGGAGCGGGAGCAGGGGTGGCGAGGGGAGGGGTGTGGCAGGGCCTGTACAGCACTGTCCATGGGGCCTGGG